GTTTTACTTGCTGATGGAAGTGACCTGTTCTCCAGCTTTGAGTGGCAATAAGTTTCAGCTAAGCAACCCACCAGGTATCCTATCTGTCCAAACTTTACTGAACAAAGTGTTGGAATTGTCCAATGGTGACTTTATAATTAAGTTTGAATACTTCGTCATCTTCTCTTACAGGTGAAACTTTAGTAGCTGATCAACAGGATAAAGTTCCTAAAGAGTTACCACGGACCCATTTTTTGAAATGCTCAGGCTGGCATGATCGAAAAAAGGGTGGTAGACTTCGCATTCTCGGTAGGATGCGCCCGGCTGATTGTGATGAGGAAAAAGGTACCGAAGGACCAAAACCCAGTCATTTGTTCTACTTGTCCTTTAACAAACCACACCATGTTAAAGATGAAGACTCTTCTTCCTCATCCCATCATCCTCCTCATCCACCGAGGCATCATTGTCCAGGATCTTACTGTCCACATCCCCTGATGCATTGTCCGGGTCCCCATCACCTGCATCCACCAAGGCATCCTGGTCCTGGTCCCCACCACCCTCATCTGCCAAAGCATCCAGGTCCTGGTCCCCACCACTCATATCTGCCAAAGCATCCAGGTCCAGGTCCCCATCACCCGCATCCGCCAAGGCATCCAGGTCCCCATCACCCGCATCTGCCAAAGCATCCAGGTCCAGGTCCCCATCACCCTCAACCGCCAAGGCGTCCAGGTCCCCATCACCCTCATCCACCAAAGCATCCAGGTCCCCATCACCCTCATCCACCAAAGCATCCTGGTCCCCATCACCCTCATCCGCCAAAGCATCCTGGTCCTAGTCCCCATCACCCTCATCCGCCAAAGCATCCTGGTCCTGGTCCCCATCACTCGCATCTGCCAAGGCGTCCAGGTCCCCATCACTCGCATCTGCCAAGGCGTCCAGGTCCCCATCACTCGCATCTGCCAAGGCGTTCAGGTCCAGGTCCAGGTCCCCATCACCCTCATCCGCCAAAGCATCCTGGTCCCCATCACCCACATCAAGGTCCCCACCATCCACCTCACCACTGTCCCCCACACCGCCGCTGTCACAAACCTCTCCACCACCATCTGTCAGACTTTAAACATGGCCTGTCTTCATTCCGCCATAATATTTTTGAGTTCCCTCGAAAAGAAATGGTGACAAAGAAAACTTGAGCTTACCTCTTACCTGGCGGCAGCGGAGTTGATGAGTTTAAGGGTTGCCACTGGACTTCTACAACCCTGAGCTCCAGATGAAAACTCATCTTGAGGTCTCTGGATCCTAATGAGTGCCTTCAGAACAGTCAGTGTTGGCAGCAAAACTGTCTYGTTTCGAATAAAAAAAAAATTTAATGGAAGTTGATGCATTATTGGTGACTAAAACTGAGCAGTGGATTACCATTAAAGTCTAGCTCTTGTTCGATATTGAAGCGATTCAGGTACATGTTGAAAATGAAACAGCATTTCTATTAATCCATTTTAATTAGGATTTTGTTACTTAATCGCTTCCATAGTTCGATGGGACATGGTTAAAGATTCAAGAACTGATAAATTCTAGATATTTGATGCTGCATTCTTTAAACTGAACTGTATGCAGATTTCCCTTCATGGGATCAAAGAATCATTCATTTTTGTTGAAAAATTTCTAAATTTTCTGCAATTTTTTAAAATCAAACTAGTTTTTTTTTTTTTTTACTTAAAATGACTAGAGGTTTGAGTTTGAAAACCTGTGGATCCAGTTTGGACTTTTCTACTTTAGAAAATATGATTAAAATCCTATTAAACTTGGATCCACTTTGTATTAGGTGAAATGGCCATTGGTAAAACTGTACTGTTGAGCTACTGAAGCCAAAAGGTTAATACATTAATACAAATGGGCTTAATTTAAAAAAAAAACAGCTGAATTAAATGTTGAAGTTTAGACATTTGGTAACTTCAGTCATTACAAGTATGTTTAAAGAAAATGTGTGTAATTCCAATAAATTACCTGTGAACAGTTYACAAATTAAACCAAGGAAAAGGTCAATGGTTTTAGAAATTGAAGTGTACTTTGTTGCCCCCTGCTGGTTTTAAAACTTTTAAACAGGTTTGGATATTTGAACTCTGTAAATCTCTGCTGTTTTCTAAATGTATGGGCTTCAGTAGTATAAAGCCTAATCTTTTGAAAGTTAAGTTCATGAAAAATTGAACAGTTAAGATGCTTCATTAACATTTCATCCTTTATACATCTTGCCTTTATGTCACAGGTAATTTTAAGACCTTAATTTATTTTGGTTAAATCCTACATTTTAACATGACACAACTGCTGACTTCTAAAATAACATGACTGTCCTTTTGTTTTATTAGTGACTGTTAACAGCAGACAGCAAATTTAAATTAATTTTGTTTCCACAGCTCCAATTCACAACAAATRTTATGTTAGGGAACTGAACAGTAAATGTAAGGAAACCATCAGACTGAGTCTCATCTTCACTCTGTCCCAGTCTCCTGAGCGGCACATTAACCAGGTGTGGTTTGGCTTCAGCTTTAACCTGCCAGCATCATTTCAAAACACGAGCCAAAACACACAAAGCTGTGCTGAGCAAAATCTATCTCATTAATCAAGCAAGAAGTTAACCGTCACCGGCGCYGCTGCCACCTCCTCCGCCTCGCATCCGCCGGCGTAAATCAACTGACAAATAAAACRGGAGCAAAAATAAACCAGTGGAAACCTTCAGGACATCCATCGTCGTTCCATCAGACAGAGAGCTCTGCTCATCGCGGCAGAAAGCATGACCAAGGCCGGCGATCAATCTCTGACGACTCACCTTGGTGTAAACGCTGGAGCACAACGCCTGTCGGCCTGGAACAAACATTTCTAACATCTTAAAGCTTGAACAGCTGCTGGAACCGTTGCAATGGATTTAAATGGTTTTAAAGTCATTCCCATACTACCTGGATGCAATTCTGCTTTTATTTTGAAATGGGAGAAGCTGACAGAACTGAAAAGTGAGAATTCACATTCCAGAGTTACTTTTCTACACAACCTGGTCTGTGCAAATTGTACTCAGCAGGKAGCAATGTATGAGGCAGGCTTTATTTTCATTTCCCCTGAAGCTTCAGTCCCTTCATCTGAAGTTTGGGATTCCAAGTTTTCACTTGTTTCTCTGCTGCACTAGTGAATAAGTGTAAAAGCTGGAAGTAACAAAGGTCCCAAACTGATGAGAAAACTCTACTTAAAGAGGGTGTGATGTACTTTCAAGGCACATAGTTCAATTCTGTACAACCAGGTAAGCATGTTACCTTCAGCTGTTCTGAAATTTAAGAGCTTCCCTTTTTAAAAAAAAAAAAAAAAAAAAGCCACTTCAGTAGAAAACAAAACTGAACATTAGTTTCTTAATTTCTGCATCATCAGTGGCTTTTTTAAATTTGTTTTTACGTGCACCGACACGGGGTTTGCGGCTGTCCGATCCGTACCGGAAACACGAACCGTTCTGTCCTGGAAGCATTGTTTTCAGCATGTAGCATTTCGCTAAATTATCATACCACTCGTTCGATTTCAGTCTTTCATCACCTGCAGTGTTTCATAGAAAAGGCAATGTTTGCAGCAGCTGTGGATTTTTATTCCGGGCAAAGAAATAAAACGAAGATAAGATGAGTTACAACATGATTGTCTAGAGCAGTGTTTCCCAAAGTTGGGGTCGGGACCCAAAGTGGGGTCCTGAAACATCAGGGTGGGGTCCTGAAAAGATTTTCAAGACGGAAACCTTACGCCGGAGTAAGGAGGGGAGGCTAGACCATCCAAATTCACAGCCTCTTCTTTTCCGGTCTTCCCGGTCTACCAAGGACCCGGCCCGCCGCGACCGGGGAGTCTGGGTCCTCCGGAGGACCCAGCCTGTCGTTTTGGACACAGCCAAAGGCCCGTTGGCTGTGGCAGCCATCTTGTATTAAGCTAACTCCAATTTTTTTTACTTGCAAATGAACAACCAATGATAACTTTCTGCAAGTTTCATTCATTTTGCTAAGACAGGACAAATGAACACATCATATTTTCTGTTAGCTGTGGGTGATAATTAATGCTTATGTTAAATGTGACCTCATGGGTTAAAGGTGTTCAGAAAAATGGTTCGACATGAAAATGTCTTCCAGGAAAGAGGGAAGGATAAACAGAAGGTTCTTCACCTCTCTGAGTCTTTGATGGCTGCGCTTGTTTAGCTGCTTCCGCCGGTTTAAAGTGCCTGTGACATGCATATCCATGAAATACAAAAAGTCAAAGAAAATATATTTATATTTAAGAAACTTGGCATAATACACATGAATTCATTTTACCAATTATGTCACATAATTGGCATATTTTCTTTTGCATTTGGCTCAGCTAAAGTGAAACAGGAAGTGACATAAAGGGGGAACTCTAAGGAAAAAAAAACCTCCCGTTTTTGTTTATTGGCACAATATTATTTGAACTCTGACTTTTTCTCATCTCTCGATGATAGGGATTAAAATAATCTAAAGAGATTATTCTCTACAGCCTGTGTTGTTAGCCAATTTAGCGACGCTCTGTTCAAATGCAGACATTCCCCTTTGACATCACTTCCTGTGACTTCAAATGCAAATATCTTAACAGTTCATCTCAGCGGCGTGAATTTTTTTATTTTACAATATGTTATCAATGTTATCTTTCTAAAAAATTCATAATTATCATAAAAAATTTAATGTCACAGGTACTTTAAAGGAAAGAAAATTCAGTTTTTATGACAGATGTAAGGTTCATTAAGGTTTTGTTTCCACAAACAAGCTCTACAACAAGAAAAAGTGACCAGAAAAATGGTTTGTTACRTTGCAGCTTTATTTATTTATCAAACCATTCAATTTCTGAAGTTCGACGTGCTTATCTTGACTGATCTCTACTCTCTTTGGGCTCCATCAGTCCTCTCTGTCAGGTTCATCAACCCAAGTGATCACACCTGGTGAGGCGGAGTCCTGTGGGGTTTACACCTGGCTCTGTCTCTCCTCAGTGAGTGATTGATTGCACCTGAGGGTTACCTGCATGCAAGAGGGAGGAGGCMGACAAACATAAGTATAACTGAACAGAGTACACATGGTGAACTCAGATGTGAGTGGTTTTGTTTGTTGACATTGTAAAAGTTAAAACCCTATACTTCGGATCAGCGGGCTGTTTGAGAGGTGCAGCTGCAGCAGCCATGCCTGCTGGGTTCCTCGTTACAAGGTATGGGGTTTATTGGGAAATGGATTTATAAATATGTATATGTAAAGTGTGAGAAGTACATGYAATTTAAACTTGTAACTCCTTCACAGACTACTGCTGGTTTGCTTGTTGAGTGAAGTTGAACACAACTCAATATTTGCCACAGGTAAGCTTGATTTGACAAAATGTGGTTGAAATTTGAATTTGAGCCAAATCAAATGCAAAAAAATGATGCCAACTTTCTTAAAGGGATCCCTGATTAGTTGTAACATTAGACTTTATTTCATAAACATATATTTTAACTGTAAAAGACTGTAAAAATACTGTAGGGTGTTTATTTTTTTATAATTTTTAAACTAAATGTAAAAATATACTACATGGATGGGGCCATTTTATTTACACACAAAGCATTCTGGGTAAATGATGACGTGGATAGGTCATCGGTGCGAGGCTGCTAGCGAGCTATATCCACCCTGAAGGTTAATCTTGGACAATATCTGATGATCGACTCTTTTAAATGAAACCAGAGAGCGTTGACAGAGGAGAGCCTGGAACTGAAAATATGGATGGAGGACCTCACTTTAGCTTGTTTGTCATGCTAGCGTCGAGCTAATACATATAAGACAATATGGCATCAGTGCTAGCATAAAGGCTAACAGGCTAAGCTAAGGTTCTTCTTCCATGAAGCAGCTCTGTYGTCCTCCATCCATATTTTCAGTTCCAGGCTGAGTCATTTCTACCTTCTCCTCTCTGTCAACGCTCTCTGGTTTCATTTAAAAGAGTCGATTATCAGATATCGTCCAAGATTAACCTTCAGGGTGGATACAGCTCGCTAGCAGCCTCGCACCGAGGACCTATCCACGTCATCATTTACCCAGAATGCTTTGYGWGTAAATAAAATGGSTCCGTCCRTGTTAAAATATATTTTTAAAAATGCACAAAACTAAACAGCCTACAGTATTTTTAGTCTTTATTTTACAGTTAAAATAGACTTTATCTGATAATGTTACAGTTAATCGGATCCCTTTAATAAGACTCAAATTTCTCAGAATGGCCACATCGGGTTATCCTGCTTCCRGGCTTTCCAAAACCACTTTCGGGTCAACAAACAACCTTGAAAGTTACTCAAAAGCGTTAATTATTTCCCAAATTATGAAATGACTTTGAACACTGGAATTGTAGACAAATGCATGAACTCTCCTGTCCCAGTGAATGAAGATTGTAACATTCCTACAATATTCAAAGTTTTGAATCCTAAGTGACCATGTTTCTCCAACTCTTCTGTTCACAGCTCATCCTCCATCATCACAGGGTGTCAGAAAGCCTTATGACCATCACATTCAACGTGAGGGGCAACTTAAAAACCCTCACAATCCCTGGGCAAAGATTTTGGAGGGTTTCAGGAAGAACCGTCAGCACCCAGGAGCCAACCACCAGCTGGGTTGGCCCGATCAAATCCAGAACCCCCATGAGTACCTGCCTCAAATTCACGTTCAGTATCCCTCTGACGTGGTGCCTTCACACAATCCTGATGTGGATGCAAAGAAAATGGAGTTGAATGTAAATGTTCCTGTTCAGCAACTCCTCAAAACGCTTGCTTCTGTGAAAGGATCAGAGTGGTTCCAGAACTTAAGAGAAGGAGACTCATTCCGGGTGAGCCCAGTTTTCTACCAAGAAGAGGCTGGTGGTCCCTCTTGGTCTGAGCAGACAGGTTCGCCCAAGAACAAGGCTAAAAGAAAACCTAACCCAGGTCTCAACTTTAGATTTACTGCTCCAGTACCAGACCGTTCAGACAGGAGGCCTAATCTCCAAAGACCAGATCTGGCTTACCTTAGTCAGTCAGGACCGGCCGAGCCACTTTCACCGGAGTTTGGACTTGAGAGGGCCATCATGCATCTCGGTCAGGGACCCAGTCCTTGTTTTGGTCCATTGGGCTGCCCCTTGGTTAGTCAGGACCAAGTGAACCCCAGCGCCCTGCAGCAGCAGATCCAGCAACGAGCTCAGCTGGAGAAGCTCCAGCAGCAAATCCTACAGCAACTGCCGATCCTGAGTCAGATCCTGGCAGCAGGCCACGACAGTCCTTCAGGGGGGAACAACTGGATGGAGGGAATATCGAAACGGCTGCCGCAATTTCATCTGTCCATCAAAAATACCCCTGTTCCTGGAGATTACCAGCAGAGGAAACCGGTCAAAGCTCCAGAGTCCAAAAAACCTCAAAGCAGCAGGGTCTACCCAAGAATGAGATGTTCTCCTCCTCCTCCTCCTGAAGCACGGAGCAGTCAGGGTGAGCMGTGGGTGCTGTGCCCACAGCTCTTCAGAGGACGGATTCACTAACGAGTTTCAGCCAGAAACTGCCTTCAGATGTCTAACATTGCATTAATAAACTTTCTAAATTTTTGGCTTTAGTTTTGTGACATTTTGGTTTATTGATAAAATTGTACGTGCAGGATGTGTAGGTACAGTAAATGTGTCTTAATTAGTGGTTTTACATTTTTCTAAATGGTTTTTGGTAAGGTGGGAGAACAACTCCGGTAACCAGTAGGGGTGCAACAATACATGTACTTCTCTCTGTTTTTTCTGTCTCTATTTTCACTTCACTTAAAAAAAAAAGTCACTGAAGAAAAACTTTAATATTTGGTATCTGTTTCTACTGAAGTGACAAAAAAATACATGTACACGTTTCGAACCATTAAATACAGTGCTTTAGGTTCAATACACACTTGTATACAAATTTTTCAAAAATATTGTATCAACTTGTCTTCTGAAGATGCTCTGAAGGATCAGAGGATCTCTATTTGACTACTCCCTCTAGGCTGCATTTTCGAGCACAGATCCACTGAGAAACTTGCTGTTTCAGCAAATTTTAAGTTAAAATCTAATTTAAAAATGGTACTATTGAGGTTGCACAAATTTCAATAAATTAGAAGTTTAAAAGGGCATGGAAATTTCTGTTATATCGAACCGAGACACTAAAATATCGAACCGAATCCTGAATTTTCTGTATCGTTGCACCCCTAATAAGCAGAGGTGAGTTTATGAAAGTGGAAGCAGTTTCACTGAATTTCTTTGAAAACACTGTCAGCCTTTTTGGGTTTTAGTGTAAATGTTTAGTTTTGTGCAGCAGAAGCTGTTATTTCTGACTTAATGGAGTAACTACTGCCACACTCTCAGCCCAGTAACTAAAACTGGATGATTTTTTTCCAACAGCCTAGTTTTGAAAGAACTGACATTTTACCAAAACACCAGCATTTATATGCTGTTTTCAGTGGTGAACGATAAAACAATGGAAACCAAAAGGTAAAACTGAACCTATGAACTGAACGCCTCAAAAATTAGCATTTTCAAAACTTAAACTTCCAATTATATTTATGGTTTGAGCAGAATGTARCTATTTTTACACTTTTCAGAAGTGTTGGACCGCAGGTACTTCAGGGTTTTTCAGCAGCCATGTGTTTTATCAAATCAGTCCTTTTAATGAAGCTTGGCTAACTGCCCTCTCCATCACCCCATCAGGTTTAAATCAACAGTCGAGGGAAAAATAAACAAACCTGAAGACCCATCATAGTTCATTGAGAATGGTGTGTTCAATGTCAGAAAAAAGGACCAAGGCTGCTGCTCAGTCTGATGCACCACTGGTTCACCTTGCTTCCTGTGGTACAACACAATGTTAGTCTGTAGCAGCAAAAAGCAATATTTTGATCTAGTTTGTTGCTGTGACAGCTGACATGACTTACAGGTTTTACCCTCTGAGCTGGAAACAAAACGAGTGTTTGACACATTTTTAAAAGTTTAGGAAGTATCCACAAAAAGAAAATCTCTTGCATCAACACTGCAGCTGTTTGAAAGAAGACCTTGGTAAGTCTAAATCAGAGGTGTCAAACTCCAGTCCTCGAGGGCCACTATCCTGCATGTTTTAGAGGTTTTCCAGCTCCAACACACCTGATTCAGTGATTGAATTAACTCTTCAAATTGGGCAGAAGCCTGTTAATTACCCAGCGATCAAAATCTGGTGTGTTGGAGCAAGAAAACCTCTAAAACATGCAGGATAGCGGCCCTCGAGGACAGGAGTTTGACACCCCTGGAGATGATTAAATTCATTTTGAGAGGCTTTTAAAAAACATTTGACTCAGCATTCAAAAGGAAAATTAACATAACTTTCAAATTATGTGATTTTAATATGAAAATCCTGAAAATAAAAAGCAGAAAAACGTAGATATTTCTATTTTTAACTATTACTCTGCATTTTTCCAAAGGTTTTATTCTTTTAACTTTATTTTAAATTGTGACTGACGACCTACACTGCAAAATAATTAATTCATTAGCATTAAATTTCTAATCCTAGTTATTGGCTTTTCAGAAATTTTTATTTGATATTTCTCAGTTGCTTTGACTGTTTTGCATATTTCTGACAACCAGTTTGTTTCTTGTCATGATTATCTTTTTACAACTCTTATAGGATTTTAAACTGTTAGTCATGTAACGCATAATGAAACTAAATCAACTGAATAACCTTCGGCATTCTTTCTTATACAAAAGGATAAAATACAGAGACTCTCAAAACAAAATATTTGGTTTATCCTTTCAGAGATAAAAAGAAATATGTTAGTGAAAAATGTAAAGGCTCCAAATTATATATATGTACCGGTATACACTTTTTCATTTATTCATTTACAAACAAAATAAATTCTATATACAATAAAAATACTAATCACAAATAAAATGAAAGGCAGCAAAAACAAGATTTTTTTTATAAATCTGCCCCTTTTTTCCAAAAAAATAATTTCAAACAATAATAATCTACAAGTAAAAAAAAACAAAAAAACAAAAAAAACCATCAACTTCTTCTTTGACAACAATTCTTATGGATAGGTCTAGATTTAATATTTAAGACCTCAGTTTAGCAGCGTACCTTTTGGACAGGTGACCTGACCTGGGAAAGTGGAGCCAGCAGGGGAGGATGCCCGCCGGTGGCCGGGCCTTGGTTCCTTGGAACTGGCCAGGTTCAGCTGGAAAAAGCCTCAGGATCGCACCGGCGTGTGGGGCGGGGAGCGAAGTCAAGGTCGGGTGCAGCGTGAGCTGAGTGGCATTAAAAGATCAACTTGTACTGCAACTGTTTCGTTAAAAACCCCATCAATCGTCATTTATTTTGTCATTGAAAACAGTACAGARCTTTTAATATCAACCATTTAACTTTCACTGTGACTCCTCACAGAAACGTTACAGGAGCTTTGAGTAAAGCCTGAGTGGATCTGCTGACACACAGTTACTTTATTTTGATTTTAGTGTGATCATATTCTTTCCAAAATAATAAGAAAGCTCAAAATGTGTGGTATATTTGAAAACAAAAACACAAATTGTGTAAAGGATTCTGATGAAGCTGGCTTTGTAATTACACTGAGTGAGAGAATTCCCACATAAACAAAAAGATTCATATTAGTGATGTTGTCACTTTGCAGGAAAGAAATGTTCAKTTCTTAAAGAGTCACAATTTTCTTTATTTGTCATGTTTTTTTTTCTTATTTGTTTGTTTTGTTTTGGCAAGAAGCCAATCAGACTAAATGGCCACACCTGTGTGAGGTGAGGCAGGTTTTTTTTTTTTTTGTTTTTTTTTGCATGTGCACAGCACCTCATTACAGCACAAGGCTGATGACACAGGTGAGCCTCAACACATGTTTGATTGCAGGACCTGGTGGGTGGATTTGAACAGGCCACAGTTTATTTAGAGCTGGAAGTGACAGGGCAGCTCAGCAAGGTTTCACAGGACATTCACCAAGTGCAGCTGCAGCAGTCATGGCTGCTGTCCTCCTGATTTTAAGGTACCAGGTTTGATCATGAATCAAATCATTCTCTTTTCGGGCAAAGTGTAAAATATAAAAGAAGTATTAAATGTTTTTGTAATGAAAATCTGATGAGATTTTGTTGCTGTTCTTCTGTTGCAGATTATTGGTCTTTTGGTTATTAAGTGCTCTGACCTGCTCTCATGTTTGGCCAAGAGGTGAGTCTGACCTACATTTTGTTTTTTTGTTTTACGTAATCAGTCTGTCATCTCTATTATGAATTTTATTTGAAGTTAAGGACAGTAAAGCCTTGGGAGATATTGATAAAATTTCATACCACACAGTCCATGATTCTGGCAGAACTGTGCTGTGCAGCATGGGTACTTTAAGTCAGCCTGACTGACGTAGTTGAAGCTTTGCAGCAGTTTAGGCCTTGTGCTTTCACTTCTGTTTGTGCAGTGATGCTTTTATTCAGTAAAACACTGCCATTATGCATTTTTAAATGGGATAAATAGCAGCTTTTTTAAGTTTTAATGAACATGAGGATGTCAAACTAGCAACTACTCCAATGCAGTTTTTTTAATTGAATTTATACGAACTTAAAACTCAATCTTAAAATTTCAGCTAAATGCTTTATCTCAATTTTGTGTTGTATCGTGTGACTTGTCAGAATATACACGGAATAACTGAAATGTGGTTTGTGGTCCAGTTCTGAGACATTTTCATGTGGAACAAGTTTTAAATAGAACTGTGTGCACACCCGGTCATTGTCTGGTGTTGAAATTAAAACTTGCCTGGACAGCTAGCTAGTTTGAGACTCAAGGAGTTAATTGTTGGAAATTTGCTCTTAAACTGACCATCTGTCAGATGCAACACCACAAGTCATTTGGTTTAGAAAACCTATTCTACTGGACTGTACACRGTAAAGATCCAGAATGAGATGATTCTAATGTTAAGCTTTTTCCAGCAATGATAACTTGTTTTACTGTATTCTAAACCAAAAAGGCATTTAAATAGGTCATCACTGAAAGTTAACTTTGATGTTCTTTATCAATACAACTGGATGCATGTTCGCCACTTGTTACATAAACTTACATTTTGAAAATTTCCAAGTTTCATATGGCAAATGAACTGAAATTGTAGTGGTTTATTTCATGAGATTATTATAGCTTCATTTCTGAGCTTGGTCATCTAAGAGTTTTCAGTAGAACCTTAACATATTTTACAAGTAAAATTAAACAAATGTTGAGTTCAGACAACTTATATTAATAGCAGTACATTTAATTGTCCTAGTTTTGTTAAACTCAAATGTGACATTGGTATATTCTTTCTGAAATTAAAATTAAGTTTCCATACGAACGATAAAATGACCCATTGATTATAAGGGCACATTTCAAACTGGGTCCAATGTCTTCTGTATCAGCTAATTAAATTCAAACACAATGCAATAATTATCTACACTATTTATAAAATGTATATAATTAACTATAATACATATTGAAAGATCAAAGTTTTGTATCAGAACCTAATATTGAGTACATTTGTTTTGTTGCAGTTGGGTATGGGAACCGTCGCCCTCTTCACTATGCCCGGACTCTGAGGCAGCCCAAAACAAACTTGCAGGCTTTTGGTCCCATAAAGTGGCTRAAACCTCCAGGTTTTAGAACTGGTCAGGGTCAAAACCAGATGCACAAGCAAATGAGTCCCCGTAGGCCACAAATGTTCCCAGCCCAAACTACACAACAAAAAAGCTATTTCACACCACAAAGAGAMCCAGTAGCTCGGCCTAAAAGCTTTCAGATCAGCTTGGATATTCCTTTTGTCAACCCTGTGAATCAAAACACTGATTCTGTTGAAGGTTATGATTATAAAAATTACWTCACTGAATCTGGAAAAAGGCCAAGTACAGTTGAAAATGTGCAAAGTGGTTTTGAAGCTTCTCAGTTTGTTGATCCTGAAAACAAATATTCTGCAAAGTACCCATATGAAGAAACTAACCAAGTTCCCAGCATCGAATTTAACTTAACCATTCCCCTATCAGTTACATCTTTTAACCCTAGCAAGCCACTGAACAGATACAAGGAACCAGAAATGGAAAAACTTAGTTGGAGACGGACGGAACCAAAATGGCCTGCTTTTAATCAAATACCACAGGAACCAACCCAACAGCAGACTGGATCAAAATGGCCAAGTTACAATCAGGTAACACAGGAACCAACCCAATATGGGTCAAAATGGCCAGGCTACAATCAGGCAACACAGGAACCAGCCCAACATGGGTCAAAATGGCCAGGCTACAATCAGGCAACACAGGAACCAACTCAACATGGGTCAAAATGGCCAGGCTACAATCAGGCAACACAGGAACCAACCCAATCGCAGATTGCATCAAAATGGCCAGGCTACAATCAGGCAACACAGGAACCAACCCAACATGGGTCAAAATGGCCAGGCTACAATCAGGCAACACAGGAACCAACCCAATCGCAGATTGCATCAAAATGGCCAGGCTATAATCAGGCAGCACAGGAACCAACCCAACAGCAGACTGGATCAAAATGGCCAGACTACCAACTGGTAACACAGGAACCAATCCAACAGCAGACTGCGTCAAAGGGCTACAATTGGGTAGCACAGGAACCAACCCAACAGACAGGACAACATTGGCCAGACCACCATCCAGTAACACAGGAACCAATGCAAATACAGATGGAACTGACATGGCCTGACCACAGTCAGATAGCATCAGAGCCAACGCAACAGACTGAATCAAAATGGTCTCTCTTTAATCAAGTGGACCCTGTACTTCAAACCCAGCAGACTTATGAGCCTGTTTACAAAGAGACTAAAAAGCCTAACTTTTTATCTTTGCTACTGAGCCAAAGTAGCAGTCCTCAGCAGGTTGGCAATGAAAATTCCCCCGAAAGTCTGAGTTGGGGCCTTCAAAGACCAGGTGAAACCAAACATGCATCTCCACCTTCTGTGCAACATCAAGACTATCTAGATGTTCACAGACCACAAATGAACCCCTCAAGAAAGGACAAGGAGCTTATTCGACTGCCTGACATTCCAAAACTGCATTTATCCCCATTGCACTTCAACAGATTTTTGAGTGGAGGTTCTGATTTAGATGATAACGATATTGGTGCTGATCCAAGCAAATATCAGAACATGGGCAAATATAGGGGTACTAGTACAAAAGATTTGACAGAGCAGCCCAGAAAAGAAAAGGGTACCCAAATTTCCATCCCAAACATTAAACTGGGGTTTTCTATCCCAATTTTATCAGAAGTGTCCAACGTTACTCAAAGTAACAACGGCTACTTGGTGAATATTAAACCAGACAATACTGTTTACTTTACTCGGGAGTCAACAAAATCCCAATCAAAGTCACCCCAGATTGCAATGAAATGGCCCATCTTAAGTTTTGAACAGACCAAGAACCAAAAGCCACAAGAGGAACCTGAAAAGAAATGGCCRCTTATAAACCTTGATTCTGTCTTCCAACAAACTAAACAGCTTAACGAGCCTGTTTACTCCAGACCTACTGATGGCAAACTTACAATTTCACCCTGGAACCCGAGCCGAACAGTTAACCAGGATAAAACTCTGACTGGACAGAGCTGGGGAGTTCAAAAGGCAGAAACAAATGAGCCTCAATCTCCAGTCCATTATCTTTCAAACTATCTCCAACTTTCCGACATTAGACAACTCTTGAGAAAAGATGATAAAGATCAAACTGTTCAACCTAAACCAACTCTGTCAGAAACAGGTGAAGGTTTACAATACCCTTGGCTCAAACCTAGTGGCAGCACCTATGCTCAAGGTCAATCCAAATATCCAGGTAGTTCATTAACGTTTGCTTCTAAACTAGACAATCTCTTTAAACCATCCAGTGTTCATCAGGAGCACGTAGAAACAAAACACTCAAGTCCTCTCTACCCTCAAGGTGGTCATGACCGGTCATTTGAATCTTCCCGGTTAGATGCTGCACCGGCCTCTACAAAGCCCCAAAGGTGGCAAAAAGAATCTTCCCCTCATCTTTTTCAGTACAACAGTGGGCAAAAAGCATCTGGAACATCAGAAACGCCCCATTTTCTGTCAACTAGATATCAACCTGAGAAGAAAATTCCTGGACAAGATTTTGAACACAACCAGGACAAAAGAGGCAAATATGGAAAACTCTTTACTGACACAGATGGTAGAGATGATTTTTTACATAGGCAGCGCTCCTTTCAGACTCCAATGACTCAAAAATACCCTGGCAAATTCAGTGGAAAAAACTCTGCAGGAATGACTTTGGATTTACAATCACCCTCGTGTGACTCATCTTCTAGTTCCAGGGAGCAAGATTCAGTCACAAACTGGATTAACTCCAATTACCCGTTCAAGGAACCCCAGTCGGGAGTAGGCAGATGTCCAAATAAACCTGAGAACTATGAGCGGTCCTACAACGTTCCAGTCAATTATTCTCCAAGTGCACAGGTAACCGCTGTTTCTGTTCCCTCTGAGGCTTTTCAACCCGTTTTGTCTGGTTCAACTTCGCACGCCATTCCAAGGGCCTTTCATGTGAAACGGTACAATGTTGGTCCAAATCGGCAATCTCTGAGGTCCAAGTAACCTGGAAGTCCCTGGCTGCTGCTCTCAGAAGTCTTTATAATGTTGTCCGATTTAAAAACGAGCACTTCTCTTTACTTTCTGCTCCTGAACTGATGTCKGTAGTTTCCAGCATGGACTTTAAAATGCAAACTTCTCCAAATGTCAGTTTAAACRAAGTTTCCCTCTGAGACCACAGTCCTTTTGCTTTCAAACCAAACCCTAAAGTATTTGAGTTTTCAATCTCAAAAAAAGGGTGTTTGCAAAGTTTATCCAGTAATCTTGCTTGTTGCTATCCTTCCCAGCCTGGTTTAACAGGGAGTCTTGTTTAATAGCCCTGTCTACCTCAAAGTATCACTCCTGTACTTGGAATTTGGTGGATTTCATCTAAATGAAGGGAAAATGAATCCCAGTACAAACCAGAATATAAAGATTTTATTGGAGRATTGAGCCTGAGGATGTGCATTTTAGTTTGGAAACTTTTTTTTAATCCACGTGTCAGCAGCTTTTATTATCTGAGGGCAAAAGTGGAGCAGCTCAGCTGGAACAGGGTGCAGGTGAGCCTTTTATTTTTTTTACAATTCTCAGATTCTGACAATTGATCATCCTCATAATTTCAATGTTTTTCTTTTTGTTTACAGGTTAACCAGCCTAACTGGAACGGTGAAATGGTTTCTGATGCATTCTTTATTAAAAGAAACAAAATGTTCAAAACTACTGTGGTTCATTCTCAATGGTTTTTGTGCTTCAGTAATGCTGATGAAATGAAAACTTACTGGTGTCTAAAACCATTTTCCCTCCCAAACTACTTGGAAAATCCAAACTGTCCGATAAAGGACCGATTCCTAAATGTTATAAGTTTGACTTGCAGCTAAAGGGTTAAGTGTCTAATATTTGGAATTGCACTGACACAATGACTTTGTTTTTAATTTAAGAAAATAGTCTTTATGGACCTGACTTTTGAAAGTCCAATCATTTAGATTTAGCAAAAAAAAAAAAAAAAAAGGCCTTTTTGAGATTGTTCTGAAAAACAATTTTATTTGCCAGAATGAAACTTAAACTGCTTCTCCTGACCTAAAACAAAAAGCAGCTCAACAAATTCTCAACTTATTAGACCCTCCAAACTGGAGCTAAATTGCTGGTTTCAAACACAATAATAATAATTAATAATAATAACCACTAAACTAAAATATCAATCTACCAGAGTAAAACTGAACAGTTCTAATTTTATTCTCTAGTTCAAAAACTTTACAAAAGAGAAGTTTATATTTCAACGTGTTTAAAGTCAGTTCATGCATTGGGGGTAAAAAAAAATCAACTTTTGCACAAAAAGGGAGATTTAAGTTTTGTTTTTTTTCGTTTAACAATTCTTGGTGATGAATCTGGCAGCACCTGGGGGCACCAGAAGTTTAAAACAAGTGTTGATGGCAACAGCAAAAAATAAAAACAATTTTATCTGCAACTGTTTATCCCACAAATGCACCTTACAAATGTTGCACCATTTTTAAAAAGGAAAACGGGCTTTCCAACAGTGTAAGAAGCATTGTTGCAAAAAATGACCTAAACACTCATTTCCTTACTTTTTGTGTTAGAATACAAACTGAAATTATTTCTTGTAAAAATGACCAGTTTTATCTTCACCAAACGTGTAAAAGTAACCAAACAAAACCTAAATGGCAGTTTTTTGTTTTTATTTGGACACTTTTAATGGTGTGTTTGTAGAACGGTGACTTATTGGCTAAACAAATGGAGACCTTGGTTTCTCCTTGAATGGGATGTAAAACTTTTGTAGGGTCGTGTTTCCTTTGAAAAGGGAGTGTGAGTACATGCACACTTTTATCGGAAAGCTGTGACTTTTCTGTTAAGTGTTACGATGAAAGGCGCAGCGGTGTGTGTGTGTTAGTGAGGCATTGCTGTAAATGAATAAACTGAACGGTTTCAGACAATTA